AAAGAAATTAAATAATTTTCTTTTTGTGGTAGTCTTTAAAAAAATATTTTTATTTTTTGATTACAGTTGACATTCAGTATTATTTTATATTAGTTTCAGGTATACAGCATGGTGGTAAGAAATTTATTTAATTTATGAAGTGATTCCTCCAATAAGTCTAGTACCCACCTGGCACCATACATAGTTATTACAATATTATTAAATACATTCCCTATGCTGTACTTTATGATAGGATCTAGATACTGTTCAAACCCAGTAGTTTATAGGGACTGATGCACTGTCTCTGAAGTCAGCAAAGCATTTATTTTTCCTTATGAATAAGCTATTCTGTGTTTGTGCACAGAAGGAAGGTGGGGAAGGGAAGAATGTATATTGTTCAGGGCAGGTTTATTTTTGGGTCTTATATTGGGTTGCTTTCTCATAGAATATTTCCTAAACTCCATTCCCTTGAATATCAACTTCATAATTTTTGCTTTATTTACATATATATATTTAAAAAATTTTTTTTCCTTTATTGATTTTTAGAGAGAAAAGGAGAGGGAAAGAGAGATGGAAACATCGATGGAATAGAACATCGCTTGGCTGCCTCCTACATGCCTCCCACTGGGGATTTGGCCCACAACTTGGGCATGTGCCCTGACCAGGAATTGAACCGGTGACCTCTTGGTGCATGGGTTAACACTCAACTACTGAGCCACACCAGCCAAGCTATATATATTTTTTTAATTAATTTTTTTAATTACAGATGTCCCTCCTTTTCCCCCCTTTGACACCTTCCTCCCCGATCCTGCCTCCCATGTATATATATATGTTTTTTCTCTTTCTTACATTTTTTATTGATTTTTTTTAGAAAGAGAGGAAGGGAGAGAGGTACAAACATCATTTGGCTGCGTCCTGCACGCCTCACACTGGGGATCAAGCCTGTAACCAGGGCATGTGCCCTCTCTGGGAATCGAACTAGGGCCTCTCAATCCATGGGACGATACTCAGTCCACTGAGCCACACTGGCCAGGCACATATATATGTTTCTCATAATATTATTTACTGAATATTTTTCTAATAATTGTCTTCTTTATTATATAAATAAAGCCTCTTCCTGAACCATACTATTCATCAGGATCATGTGTGTGATGAGCTAGTTATTTAAAAAAATTTTTTTTCCTTTATTGACTTCAGAGAAGAAGAGAGAGATAGAAACATCGATGAGGAAAAACATCGATTGGCTGCCTCCTACATGTCCCCCACTGGGGATCGGGGCCACAACATGGGCATGTGCCCTGATTAGGAATCAAACTGGCGACCTCTTGGTGCATGGGTCAATGCTAAACCATTGAGCCACACCGGCCAGGTTGTAATTTTTTAGATATGTTTTTATTGATTTTCGAGAGAGGGGAAGGGGTAGAGAGATAGGAAGGGGTAGAGAGAGAAACATTGATGTGAGAGAGAAACATCAATTGATTGCCTCCCATATGCACCCCGTCTGGGAACTGAACCCGAAACTTGGGCATGTATCCTGACCAGGAATTGAACTGGCAAGCTCTCGGTGAACAGGTGAAACTCAACCAACTGAGTCACTCAGGCCAGGGCAGTTATTTTTTTCTAGTGCACATTACACTAAGACCACGACCATTAAAGTAAAAAAAATGTTAGTTCATTTCCCGCCCCCTAAAATTCTGTTAGTGGCTGTGGGAAACCCTGCCATAGGAATACTCAGTAAATGTTGACCATCGTGTGATTCAAGTCTTGCTTTGTTCCCTTGCTCTACGAGTAGCCCCTAGGGATGTTCACAGTCAGTGAGCACTCTGTCTCCAATTCTTCCTTAGGTCTCCATCTTGTCGGCAATGGAGCTCATTTGGAACCTTTGTGAGATTCTTTTTATTGAAGTTGCCCCAGGTGAGCATGTACTCATTCTGTCAACATCATAGGTGTCCCCTGCCCTTTCCTCTGGTTTTTCTTGTGTTGTGATGAGTGTTTTGTTGCCTAGAATGCTTTTTTCATTAACACAGCTGTCAGAAAGCATTATGTGACAGCCAGACGCCTGTCGTTTTGTCAGGTGCTGCAGAAAGAATTAGATAGAGTGCCTGCCAGTAACCTCAGATGATAGGCAAATGACCCTTGAAAAACACCAAGAAAATAAACATTAAACTAGTGTGTGAAAGGGGTTGTTGTCGATAGTTTTATTCTGGACTGATCAGGCTTTAGAAAGTTCTCGGAGAAGCTAGGGGAGAGGCACAGGTGCTTCCTCATAGCCTGTAGAAGCAGCTAACCCTGCCAACACCTCGATGTCAGATTTCTAGCCTCCAGAAGTGTGAGACCAATTTCTGCTGTTAAAAGAAAAAAAAAGGGCCCTGACCTGTTAGGCTCAGCAGTTGGAGCGTTGGCTTGCAGACCAGAGAGTCCCAGGTTCGGTTCCCGCTAAGGGCACTTACCTCGGTTGCAGTTTGTCCCCGGCCCTGGTTGGGGTCGTGTGGGTGACAACCAGTCGATGTGTCTCTCTCACATCGATGTTTCTCTCTCTTACTCCCTCTCTTTCTCTCATTCTATCTGAAGATAAATGCAAAAGTGTCCTCGGGTGAGGATTTAAAAAAAAAAAAGGAAACGAAAAAGAAAGTTTTAGGGGTATAACGAGGGGTTAGGATGTGGGGGGCAGTCACTTTGAGAATTCTGTTACTAATGATTGGGGCAGGGACAACCCTGTGCAATTACTGTCTGCTTCGAATTCTGTTGACCTTGAGTTAAATTGTGGTCAGTACAGTTTCCTGGCTTCAGTGGATGCTCTGTGGAATTGTTACAGACTTTTTTTTGTTTCTTTTAATGGTCTATGTTTGCTCTTATTCTTGAATAAGTGTTAAAAATCTCTGTGTAGTCATAGCTATTTATTCATTCTCCTGCTAAAGGACAGAGCAACTTGAAAATAAAATTTGATTTTTTTTTTTTTTAATTATTATTTTTTATTTATTTTTATTTTTTATTTTTATTTTTTATCCTCACCTGAGGACATTTTTCCATTTTTTGTTCAGGTAGAGTGGGAGGGAGAGAGAGGAACAGAGAGAGAGGAGAGAAACATCGATGTGAAGGGACACATCGAGTGGCTGCCACCCGCACGACCAACCAGGGCCGGGGACAAACTACAACCGAGGTACATGCCCTTAGCGGGAACCGAACCCGGGTCTCTCCAGACCGCAGGCCGACGCTCTAACCGCTGAGCCAAACCGGCCAGGGCTAAAATTTGATTTTTGTATGCCTCTCTCCAGTAGATTTCTGAGGGCCATCAATATGTTTTTATTCTTTTTTTTATCCTCACCTGAGAACACTTTTCCATTTTTTGTTCAGATAGAGTGGGAGGGAGAGAGAGAAAGAGAGAGAGAGAGACATTGACATGAAAGGGGCACATCAAGTGGTTACCACCCAGACGACCCAACCAGGGCCGGGGACAAACTGCAACCATGGTACGTGCCCTTAGCGGGAACCGAACCTGGGACTCTCTGGTCTGCAGGTCGACCCTCTAACCGCTGGGCCAAACTGGCCAGGGCACCTTTGCTCATTTAAGAGGGGTCAATCATTTCCTACAAAGCTTGTCTGCCCTTCATTCTCTGCGTTATGGGAAAGCAGGATTTGCTGCTCATGAAGCTGAGGTCTTGTGCGTGACGAGATTCTCTCCCCCAGCTGGTCCCCTCCTCCTCCACCTCCTTGACTGGGTCCGACTGCACGTGTGCGAAGTGGACAGTATGATGGCAGATGTTCTGGGCAGTGAGAACCCAAGCAAACATGAGAGCTTCTGGAACTTGGTAAGGACCCAGTGCAGGCTGGGCCCCCCTTTCTCCCACTTCACGTCTGGTTTTCCTCAGTGCTCACAGGCGGGCTGGGGGCTGCTAACTGATCCTCGTGCGCTTGGCCTGGCTCCACGTGTCTGTGATCATCGCAACGCCCTTAGATCTGTTCTTCCCTGCTCCAGGGAGAGTTTAGAATTGTTATCAGTAATAAAGTAATGCTTTGTAGACCTTCCACTGAGAAGGGAAATTTGGCTTCTTTGTGCATCTAAGGGAGAGAAGACGTGAAGATGATACAAAGTCGATGATTGGGGCTGGGGCATCAACGTAAATGAGCTTGAAGGGTTGTTTTGAGATGATAGAATGTTCTAAAATGATTGTGATGGTGCCAAACTCTGCAAACTTACTAGAACTCATTGAATTATACACTTAAATAGGTGAATGTTCATAGTGTATAAATTATAACTCAATAAAGCTTTTACAAACTAAAAGACTGATGATCCCAAAGTTATTTTGGATTATCCATTTGGAAGTCATCATGTGTGCCAAAGGTGTGTGTACGTGTGTGCATGTATTCTCTGCCGGTGAGAGCAGTATTTTTTCCATTCACCTCCACTGATCTGTGACCCAGATGGGAGGGAGCAAGGAGGGGGTTGCCAGTTGACGCGAATAATGGAATATTGATTACATTTATAGAATCTGAAATTCAGGTCAAGAGTTGTTGCCTTTGATGCTGTTTGTGGGCCTTTTTGTCCAGGAGATCTGTGCAGCAAGGAGGGAGCCTTTGCTCAGGAGTATTGGGCCCAGGTTTTGAGTCTCTAATTCATTCTTTCACTGAGATGTTTATTTTTTTCTTTATTGACTTATTTTTTATTTTTTTAATCCTCATCTGAGGACATTTTTTCCATTTATCTTTAAATAGAGTGGAGGGAAGGGGGGGGGAGAGAGAGAGAGAAACATCAACATTAGAGAGACACATTGACTGGTTGCCTCCCTCACGACCCCGGACAAACCATAACTGAGGTCTGTGCCCTTGGCTGGAATCGAACCCGCAACCTTTTGGTGTATGGGAGGATGCTCAACCCACTGAGCCAGCTGGCCAGTCTTTAGTACTATGCTTGGGTGCCCAACAAAAAGCAAAAAATGCAAACAAAACCTTGGCACTGAACAGATTGTGAAAAAGACCCTTGTTTAGTGTGAGAGCTGATACAAGAAGGCAGAGCACTACCTTGTTTGTTCACCTGCAGATGTGCTTGTCAGGTGACTCAGATGATTTTGCTGCGCACTTGTTCACAAGTGATGGTGACAGCACCTTGAGGGGTTACAGGTAAATTTTAGCAAGTAGGCAAATTTACAGACAGAGACTTTGAATAAAGAGGATTGATTGCACTTGTGTCAAGGGTATGTATATATTCCTGTGTATATTTGAACTAAGACTTTTATGAGCCAATACTTTATTTGATGCACTGTGGTATTTTTTTTAAGTTGGTCACATCCTGTAATGGGTTGAAAAGCATGGTTCAGGTTAAAACCAAGAGACTGGATGAGCTAGATTACCTCTGGAGGGAAGAAATCATCATGCTTTCCCAAAGCTAAGAAGCCAAAGCTAGGCTGAGGGGATGGCTTCTGGGCCTCCCATGGATGCTCATATTCTTGGGTGTCCCTCCAGGTGACCATCTTGGTGCTGCAGGGCCGGCTGGACGAAGCCCGACAGATGCTCTCCAAGGAAGCTGACAGCAGCCCCACCTCTGCAGGCATGTGCCGAATCTTGGGGGACCTGATGAGGACAATGCCTGTTCTCAGTGTACGTGGGAGCAGCCCTGCTCTGTGGGTCATGGGATATGAGTTCATTATTGCGCATAAGGGGTTCATGTGATGATGGTGTCTGACTGCATCTCCCCTCAGCCTGGTAACACGCAGACCCTGACAGAGCTGGAGCTCAAGTGGCAGCACTGGCATGAGGAGTGTGAGCGGCACCTCCAGGACGGCACATTCGCCTCCAGCCCTCACCTGGAGTCTCTCTGCAAGGTGGGAGCTGGTCCAGTTCAGGGTCCACGATGTCTCCCCTTAAGGATTGTGGTATCCCGCCCAGTGCAGGCAGAAACGTGGTCCTCCCTGGCCGGGGCTCTCCATTCTCTGCAAAGGAAAGAGCTTTCAGACCCACTCTCGCTGAGATCAGGAGAGTTGTAGAGAGCTCCCCCGGAGCTCAGGGAAACGCCTCTCTCCTCAGATCATGTTGGGAGATGAAGCTGCCTTGTTGGAACAGAAGGAGCTTCTGAGTAACTGGTATCATTTCCTAGTGACCCGGCTCCTGTATTCTCATCCCACAGTAAAACCCATTGATCTGCACTTCTATGCCCAGGTGAGTCAGCTCCATCGGGTGGGGGTGGGGAGTAGGGGTCCTGGGGTTCTGCTCCCTGCTGGGTCATTTTCAGTGTGTGGCCTCTTTGAAGTGAGCCTCCCTGGAGAACCGGAAGGGGTTTTCCTTTGGCTTTTTTGAAGGACCCCATCACCCTTCCCCAGGGTTCCCTTCACAGCAGTCCTGCCAACCCCCTTGAGTCTCTGCTTCCATCCAGAGATTGAGTGGGTCACACCTTTCCACAGTCCAGCCTTGACCTGTTTCTGGGAGGTGAGAGCAGCCCAGAACCCCTGGACAACATCCTGATGGCAGCCTTCGAGTTTGACATCCACCAGGTGATCAAGGAGTGCAGGTAGGGCTGCTGCGCCACCAGCACTCTAACCGTCTCGGTGTGGGAATCACTGGCATTAAGTACAGTCACAGTGTTGTGCAGCTGTCACCACCATCCTTGTCTAGAGTGTCCTGTTCCTTGCTGGTGTCTTAATCTTCTTCCCGCAGACCTGCTTCCCTCCCAGCCACGTGTGGACAGATAATGGCTTCTCTCTGGACAAGCTTGGGGGACTTCCTGAAGCTTGAGGGCTGCCATGTTTATAACAATTTCCATGTTATTTACTTAAAATAACATGGCAGGGCCCTGGCTGGTTTTGCTCAGTGGTTAGCGCATCGGCCTGTGGACCAAAGAGTCTCAGGTTCGATTCTGGTCAAGGGCATGTACGTCGGTTGTGGTTCGGTCCCCGGCCCTGGTCAGGGTCGTGTGGGAGGCAACCAGTCGATGTGTCCCTCTCACATCGATGTTTTTCTCTCTGTCTCTCTCCCCCTCCCACACTATCTGAAAATAAATGGAAAAATATCTTCAAGTGAGGATTTAGGAAAAAAATAATAATAATAATGTGGCAGGAAATTACTTTGATATTTAAAAGCCAGCCTATTACATGGAACCCAGTGGACATGAAGCCACCTTGGAGGACAGTACTTCTCAACACTCTAATAAGCCAACCCTCCCGCACCACGGGGCTCCTGGCTGGTCTGTTCAGAGCAGATACTCTGCACCACCCTCTCCCCACAGGAGTCTCATCATTGTGATGAACCTTCAGTGAGGCAGGAAAGGGAGTGTCAAACAAGAATGAAGGTAAAGCTTTCCAGAAATTTCCATGTACCTTCTTTCTGTGCAGCCTGGACAAGTGGGTGTTGCACTCAAGACTCCCAGAGGGAGAAGGTGGGAACAGCAGCAAATGGCCTAGCTCAGGTGTCAGGTGGATTCTAGTCGACGTGGTCACTGAGACGGTCCCCTCCTGCTGCGTGCTTTCATGTTTTAGTCAAAAAGAAGCAGGGCTTCAAGAAATGATCCTAGATTTAGAGAAGTGGGTTTTGTGTCAATATATATATATTTTTATAGACCTGTAAACATAGGGACTTTAGTTGAGCTGAAAGATGACACACGGAGTTTGGCTGATGGCAGGTGTGGGGGGCACCTGCATGGGGGGGTTAGTGACAATAACTTAAGGCGCACACCTCATCATTTGGCCTTGTCAGGGTTTCTGCCTGTAATTTGAAATAATAGGCATTCCTAAACACATTGCCTGTTACCGCGGTGGATTATTCCACCAGGGCTTCCTTCATAGCCACATCTGGATTTTTAGGAACAAAATTGATTTGAGCCCTCACCGGTTTGGCTCAGCAGTAGAGGGTCAGCCCATGGACCAGAGTCTCAGGTTCAATTCCCGGTCAGTGGCACGTACCTGGGTTGCAGGTTCGATCACTGGCCTCGGTCGGGGATGTGTAGGAGGCAACCAATCCATGTGTCTCTCCCTCCGTCTCTTCCACTCTATCTGAAAATCAAAGGAGCCTGGCCAGTGTGGCTCAGAGGTTGAGCGTCGACCCATGCACCAAGAGGTTGCTGGTTCGATTCCAAAGTCAAGGCACATGCCCAGGTTGTGGGCTAAATTCCCAGTGAGGGCATGCAGGAGGCGGCCAATCGATCTCCTCTCTCATCATGTTTCTCTCTCTCTAGTATCAGTAAAGAAAAAAAGTTTTTAAATAAATAAAAATCAAAGGAAAAATAGTCTCAGGTGAGGATCGACAACAGATTTGAGCAGAACAAGGAGGAAAGACAATGAAAGGGAAAGCACCCGCTCTTTTCAGTGACAGAGGAAGAAAGAGAAGCGCCGGTCAGGAGGGGTGGCTTCTGTTTGTTTGTTTATTTTTTATCCTTACCCAAGGACATTTTTCCATTTTCTGTTCAGGTAGAGTGGGAGGGAGAGAGAGGGAGAGAGAGAGAGAGAAACATCGACGTGAAAGGGACACATCGAGTGGCCGCCACCCGCACGACCCAACCAGGGCCGGGGACAAACTGCAGCCAAGGTACATGCCCTTAGTGGGAACCGAACCCGGGTCTCTCAGGACCGCAGGCTGACGCTCTAACCACTGAGCCAAACTGGCCAGGGCAAGGGGTGGCTTTTATAAACTTCACAGGAAACGGCATCACCCTCATGCCACTTACACAGGGAAAAGGTCAGGCTCACAACCCCTCAGTCTGGGCACCTCTCTGCCCCTGGCAACAGGAGAGGACCTGAGGTTTTTCTGTTGGCTCTGAATCGTCGAGCTTGGGGTTTCTCTGATCAGGAAGCCGTTTCCTACCCTATTCCGAAAGAGGCCCAGAAAGCAAGTCCCAGGACCTCATCCGGGGAACTGGAAGAAGGGCCGCAGTATCTTCAGAAAGAGTAGCAGACTCTAGAAATGCGCCCTCCTGGACGGGAAGGGTTGGATTCGGCGTCTTGCGAGCACTTGGTTTCTCGTGGTTTGTACCAGTTAGACCCAGGATTGGTTCCTAGGGCGTGGAGTGCATCTGTCTGAAGTTAGGCCCAGTGGGCTGGTGGCCTAGGGAAGCCTTGCTGCTGTGTGTGAATTCAGCTGGGTTCATGACGATGCTGGGAAAGGGGAACCAGAGGAGTCCTTTCTAGCGGCACCAGAAAGGAGAGTTCTACAGGGGCACCTGCTCCCCCCCGTGTGTCAACTAGGCCAGACACGGAGGGGCAGAAAGGGCTGGAGGAATCCTACAATAGCATAAAGGCTCATGGAGGCCCCTGCTGAAGGGCCCCGTGTTTGCCTGTTATCTCCATGGATGAAAGGAGAAGTCGGGGTCTTCTAAGGGTTCATTTCCTCCCCTCTGGCCTGCAACTTCCCCTGAAAGCTAGTTCTTCTCACTCCAGCAAAAGAAAATAGGGAGGTGGGCAAGATGACAGCTTCCCGGTGCCTTTAAAGTCCGCCGCAGGAAAAGACTAAAACAAAAAACAGGTCTTCCTCCAAAAAGTAAGAGATCCAATTTATTATTATTTTTAAAAATTTATTTTTCCTTTATTGATTTTAGAGAGAGAGAAAGTGAGAGGGAGAGAGAGAGAGATAGAAACATCAGTGAGAAAGAACATGGATTGGCCGCCTCCTACACACCCCCACTGGAGATCGGGCCCACACCCCAGGCATGTGCCCTGACCAGCAATCAAACCTGGGACCTCTTGGTGCGTGGGTCGATGCTTAACCACTGAGCCACACCGCTGGACGAGATCCAATTTAATATGCACCTAATCAGAATCGCCTTGCCTGCAGGGAGCACAGACCCCACGCCCATTTATGGGAGGTTCGCAGCTGCAGAGCCACCCAAAGGAAGTTACAGGGGCTGGGGTAAGGGGACAGCAGCAGCCCCAGTGCAGGACAGTCCACTGGGGGGCTATAGTTGTTTCCTCTCGGTAGGGCCTTCACCATGGCTAGTCTTCCAGGCTCCAGAGTTCCTTTTCCAGCAGAGGCCACTCCATAGTTGTTAATTAAGCCTTCCTTGACCATCTTGGAACAACGAGGCTGTTTGCTTGTTCTGTGTAGAGGCTACTCAGAATTCTCCACTATAGTCCATCCAGTGTGGCTCAGTGGATTGAGCGCTTGTCCCATGGACTGAGAGGTCCCTGTTCAGTTTCTGGCCAGGGCACATGCTTGGGTTGTAGGCTTGATTCCCAGTGTGGGGTGTGCAGGAGGCAGCCGATCGATGTTTCTCAATCACATGGATGTTTCTATCTCTCTCTCCTTCCCTTTCTCTCTGAAAAATCAATAAAACCATATTTAAAAAAAAAAAAGAATTCTCCATTACATGTGTGTGATGATCCAAAATCTGTTGACTAGACTTGCCCAGCCTTGCAGGGAGACCTTTTAGCTATGTCCAGTCTGCATCTGTCCAGTCTCGGTCACTCCAGCTGTCGTAGTTCTGTGCCTTCCGTGGTTGATGCCATGCAGCCTGGGGAGACGCTCGGAGCTCTGCAGACGAGCATGTGGTGGTTCTCTCTGCTCTGGGTCCTCCGCAGCCACCTTGCTGGCTGTCTCACCACAGCCATAGTTAGATAGTTGGGTGACAGCAAGTGTTCTGGGGGCTGAGATGTCATTTCCCTTCCCCCAGTCCACTCCCTCCCATCTTTTTTTTTTTTAAAGTGTAATTCTTTCAACATTTATTGGGCATTTATTATGTGCTATACACTGTACCAAACTTACTTTGAGATTGCAGCACTTTTTTCTTGTGGGTAATTGACAATCTAGACCAGATGTTATTGGACCCTGTAAGGATTCTGTATTCCATTGGAAAGTCAGGGAAAGCTTTTTTAAGGAGTCTGTGCTCAAGCTGTGTCTTGAAAAGTCCAGTGAAGCACAGCAGAAAAGGATGCTCTTCAGGCAGAGAAAAGCATTGAGGAAAGCACGGGCAGGGAAGAAATGGCCTGTTACCTGCTTAAGAAACTGTAGATACCTTCTTCGATCCGAAAGGCTCAGGCGAGCGATGGGCTGAAGTGGCAGGTAGGAAAGGAGTCAGATTATCAAGGACTAAATATACTATTCCCGGTAGTTGTTTTTTTAATCTTTATCTGAGGGTTTTATTCCATTTATCATCAGAGTGGGAGGGGAGAGAGAAAAATACACATCGATTGGCTGTCTCCCACACGACCCCGGCCAGGGCCAGGGACTGAACCGCAACCAAGGTACATGCTCTTGACCAGAATCAAACGTGACTCTTTGGTCTACGGGCTGAGCCCCAACCGCTGAGCAAAACTGTCCAGGGCCAGGTAGTTTTGATTTTATCAAAATGGGGTCGCTAAGTATTTTCAGCAGGGTAATGCCATAAAATTTGTATTTGAGAACAAGAAATCTAGAGTATGGAGGACAGCAAGGTTGGTAGCTGGGAGACCAGTCCTAAGGCCCATACAGTCGTCCATGTGGAAAGTGGTGATAATAACAGTTAATATTTATTAGGCTAAGTGCTTTTATGGATTATTTCATTTTTTCTTGCAACAAACCTTTGAGGTAGGTGCTGTTATTTCATGCTTATCTTACAAATGTGGAAAGTGAGCCCTGGTAAAGTCACCCTGCCAGCTAACAAGGGGCATTATGGGTATTTGTACCCAAAGCCTTTTGCCAAATTCTATATTGTTTACTGACTTCTTAAGCACCAACCAGTCTGTCAAGATACCCTATTACTCAGTTTCAGAGCGAATTTCACAACCAGCTACTTCTCACTCCACAACTTCCCTGGCCCAGCCACAGTTATTATTACCTGAACTACATTACAGGTGGCTCCTCACTGGCTTCCCCCTTGTCACCTGTTTCTGTGTTGTCCATCCTCACAGAGTAATCTATTTTTTTAAAATATGTTTTTATTTTTTAGAGAGAGGAAGGGAGGGAGAAAGAGAAACATTGATCAGTTGCTTCCTGCACCCTGACCGGGGATTGAACCCGCAACCTGGACATGTACCCTGACCAGGAATCAGATCGGCAACCTTTCAGGGCACGGGGTGACATTCACCCAGCTGAGCCACACTAGCCAGGGCTGAGTAAACCCTGTCACTCCTGCGCACTGTCCCAGGCCTCCCATCACAGGGCCTGCGCGAGCTCCGTTCTGGAGCGGGAGTAGGACCAGCCCGTGCTCCATCCCGGAGCCTCTCACTGCTGTCTCCTCTGTCTCTGGGCTGATTCTCCCCCTTGTTCCCCGTGGCAGCTGCCCTGTCCTCAGCCCTCTGCGCACTGTCCCAGGCCTCCCGTCACAGGGCCTGCGTGAGCTCCGTTCTGGAGCGGGAGTAGGACCAGCCCGTGCTCCATCCCGGAGCTTCTCAGCTGCTTCCTCTGTCTCTGGGCTGACTCTCCCCTTGTTCCCCGTGGCAGCTGCCCTGTCCTCAGCCCTCTGCGCACTGACCACTCTCTTTCGACTGATTGCCTGTAGGAACTTTCTCCAGGGGGAGGGAATGTGCGTGCACCGTGTATGTGGGGAGGTGACTTGTGTGTACATCTTCTCATTTTACTCTTTCTCAGTTAGATGCTATTTTA